CCCCCCCCCGATCGAGCGCCGTCTAATCTCACGTCCGGCGAGAATTACACTCGCAGTGTCAACAACCTCCTCGATAAATATCGGCGATAACGGAAATCAAATTACGCACGTGCGCGCTCCGTGCGCGCTCATACGCGCGCGTTATTACCGCCCGTATCAATGTCGAACCGGGCATTATTTATTTTAATCGTGATTTCATAGCATTTGAGTGAGCATTTCGTCGTGAGAAACTGAGGACCCGGCCGGTAGAAAGGAATATTCGTAGCCGAGCCGTGCCGACAATTTTCTCCTCGGCTGAAGACCGACCCTGGCTTCGGTGTTGCACGTGGCACGATTTCGTGATCGTCCCTGAAACGGTGTGTTGCCGTCAGGCATGGTGGACGGTCACACCGGCGGGAAACTCTTTTCACCCAAGTGTTTATTATCACGTTCTCCCATAATGCTTACTTATCGCCCTATCGTCCGATCGGTATTCTTTAATCGGGAAAATCGACCGGTGTGCCGTCCGATAAGCGTGATCTTGAAAAAGCGTTAACATGCGTAATCCTTTTCAAATATTCCTCCGGAGAGAAACCGACACTTCGTCTCGCGGTTTGTCAAAGAAAAGAAAAATATTCACCGGACATTTCCACGGAAAGTTCTCATTTTAGCATCGCGGAGGAAATTTCAATCATTCGTCGACACTTTCTATCTTTCGTTTCTTCCTTCTTTTCTTCTCGTACATAAATTGCACAAGGTGTTTCCCGTTTGTCTAATTCTGTAACACATTTCAGGAAGAAATAATTATCGCGCGCTTTTCTTTTTTTTTTTTTATCAGCGACAGTTATTAAAATCGCGCGGAGCAGAGAGGTAGTTGAAGTCTTTTTACGGCGCGCACAACGGTTTCATTGTGTTTGCGTCTCGGTAAGAATTTACCGAAAATGGCCGCGACCGTGTGGCGGGGGGGGGCATATCGCGTACGTGACTTCAAGAATGACACCCCGTGAAACGAAAACGCAGCGTGACTCATTCGGAGGTAGGATAATAAAAGCAGGACCGTGGCAAGACTTTCTCCCGTCGTGAACGCGCGTTTGTGGTACTCACGTATCCGCATTAGACCCATCACCGAATCATCGGCCGTGATTTTGTGACCTTTGGTACTGACCAAGGCTTACCTTTGGACTCATAGTGGTCTCTCACGCTATCGAAGCGATATCTTTCCGATAGTTCTATCTTGGCGATATACAACACGGTGGTTCAACCGAGTTTCCAATTTTTCGCGAGGTACGCTGAAAGGAAAAGAAGCACTTAGAAATTTATTTGTGGGATATAAGGTTTATCTCACAGAAATAATAACAAAAAGTAAGCGTCACTCCTGCGAAATAAACCGTATTTTTTTCGCGAAGTTAACTCTGTACTCTGCGGGCACATTTTCTAAATATTTTTCTCTCAGTGTTGAGAATGTGACAATTAATAACGTTTGTTAGAAGTTAGATAA